AAGTTTGGGGACCTTTGCCCACAACTAAAAGATAAGTGTTAAAGTTACAGAAAGATGAACACAAAGCTGAGTTGCAGGTGTTTCTGAGTGCAAACATCATGCTCAGTGTTAATAAATGTTTAAGTTCTTACGTTTAATACAAACTCAGCTCGTCTCCGTCGTTACAGATGAGCCTGTGTGCTGCAGATTATTGTATGTATGATGTATAACTTCAAATAAAGCTCTTATTTAACACAGAGTTGAATAGGGGAACACGAACACTTAAGTACAGCACAATGTTTGAGTCTCCTTTTCTTTATAATACCTCTGTTAGCTGAATCCACAGTAAGTGTCCCCTCCTGATGTATGAGGGAGAAATTGTTTGTCCTCCCCAGAGATGACCACAACATTACACAGCACTTCTAATTACTCACAGTACACTTGGTGTTGTGAGTGCGGCGTACTTGGTGTAAAATGGGGAAATGTGTTTTTCCCGTCACCGTGAAGCAAACTCAGTAACATTAAATAAGACACCCTGACCGTCACGGCCGCACAGCGTCACGGCCGCACAGCGTCACGGCCGCACAGCGTCACGGCCGTGTTTAATGTTGGAAAGAAGGAGACATTAGGTCCAAATAACTGAGCAGGAAAAAAAGAAAAAAAGTGCAGTTTTATTAAAGATTGACACTTTTTCCTCACACAGACACACAAATACACATACACATATTTACAGAGTCACAGATGGTATGTGTCAATAAGCAAAGTCAGTATGCAGTTTAGATTTTGTTGATGTTGGCAGCTGGCAGGGTGGATTTGTCCAAGTCGTCGAAGTAAGGGTGCGTCATGGCCTCGCGGGCAGAGATCCGTTTGGGGGGATTGTAGGTCAGCATTTTCTGCAGAGACGAGACCAGAACAGGACGTTATTCTCCAGAACCTGAACATGCAGGAGTCCCTGGACCGGAAACAGCTCAGCTTCATGACCAACATCAGCAGGGCTGTGCCACATCAGCTTATTATTAACATAAGAAAACAATGTCAGATGTGCCACCAGCTGCAGGTTAAACATCTTTAACACTGAACACTGTGTCACCACTGCTGACCTACAATGCTAGGAACGATCCTGGTGACTAGTTTCTTTAAAGCGTGGCGCATGCTGCCGTGCTGTTTCAAAATTCATGACAACCACTTCAAATCTAAAACAACAACAATCATCCATCTGCTTCTGCTAGTCCTGCATCAGGACAGACACTTCACATGAGGAAACTCACTGTTTAAACTGAAAAGCTGCTGATGGCAAAGACAAATGTAACTGAATAAATACAAAGAAAAATCATCACTAATGTCTTTGAATTGATGTGATTTAATTTTGAGGGTAAAGCATGCATGGCTGCTTCCTGTCTCACAGCTGAAGCTCGGCTCACAGGAGGCAACAGTACTCACGATAGAAGCACTGCAGCACCTTAGGTCAGCTGTGCAATAACACATCCTCACTGATCTTAGTCACCTGAGGCCACATTGTAAAGAAATGTGGGTCAAAATTAATATACAGTGGAACCCCGGCTACGAAGACGCCATTTAACAAAAATTTTACGTTACGAAGGCTTAACGGCAATATTTCTGCCCGTGGTACGACAAAATGCCCGCGTAATGAAACGCGTTTCGCTGTGTGAAAGATGTATTGTTGTTGCAGTGCGCTACTTTGCAATCAGCCTGTCGTTCATTCAAAATGGGCCCGGCGTAAATATGAGCGAGTTTGAGAAAATATCATTGCAGTGTACGCACATTAACATAAATGTACGTTTTAAAGTTCATCCATTCGCTTCCACTTCTCCTTTTCAGGGTTGCGGGGGGCGCTGGAGCCTATCCCAGCTGTCATAGGGCGAGAGGCGGGGTACACCCTGGACAGGTCGCCAGTCTGTCGCAGGGCCAACACACAGGAACAGACAACCATTCACACTCACATTCACACCTAGTGGCAATTTGGATTATCAATTAACCTATCCCCACAAGCTGCATGTCTCTGGATGGTGGGAGGAAGCCGGAGTACCCGCAGGGAACCCACACGGAACCCACACAAACACGGGGAGAACATGCAAACTCCACACAGAAAGACCTGATGGTAGAATTGAACTCAGGACCTTCTTGCTGTGCAGCAACAGTGCTAACCACCGTGCTGCCTTTAAAGTTTTAAAGTTTAGAATTAAATTCCATAATGTACACGTACGTGTGCTTTCTTCAGCCTCCACCAAGAACTTCGTCTTCAGCATCGCCTCACTCAAAAAGGAGCTTCAACTTATGAAAATTGTGACTTATGAAAGACCCTCTGGAACAAATTAATTTGGTAAGTCGAGGTTCCACTTTATATAGAAATAAGTAACGCTGGTTTACAAGCTCTCTGTATCTGCATGTTCTAGTTAAATGAATGATGTCACCTGCTAACTGCTTCATTAGTCATTCACACTGTTATGTAAAATAGGTGCTCGTGTGTCCTGGTTTCTCACAGCAGCTCTTCCACCTGATGTCTCCATAAATGTTCATGCAGAAACTAAAGACCACCTGCAGCCCGTGATGGCAGTGACCTCTGACCCCGATGATGCAAGACACTGATTTCCTCTCTGATCTGTTACCAAGTAAAAGTCAAGCTTTGATACTAATCTGATACTTTGTATGTGTCTGGAAAATCTAAAGTGGTTTATTTCAAACGATGCCCTTCATAACACTGAAGTATAGAGAAGTGTGATGAAGCTCCACCTTCTCCATCAACATGGAGCAAACACACCATCAGCCTTTACTGTCAACTGAGTCCCACGTGAGCCGTGACACAGTCCAGCCGCATTGCACATCTCACTATGAAAGGCGGAAGAAAAAGTAGTTCCTACCACTCATACGTTTCAAACGTGGGAGGGATACAAGTATTTCTACATGACTGTGGATTTAAAGCAAACGTTAGTGAATCACCCAAACACACACTTCTCAAAAAGCCTGGTTGAACATCACCATCACAATTTTGTCACGAGGACAGAAAGTCACCACAACACCTCCAGCCTCAGGAAACAGGTGAGGTGAGCAGGTGTTCGACCTGCTTCCCTCTGGTACGACGAGAATAAAGGCTGTTCTGTTCAGCATGCTGTGGTGCTGCCTTTGTCCTTACCGCCAGCAGATCCAGCCCATTCTTGTCCAGGTTTTTCACCATGGATGAGAGGTTCCCAGATTTCCATTTGGGAAAAGTGTTTTTGTAGTCCGGCAGACTCTCAACATCCGGCCACACATCGTTGTTTGGGGTTCCCAGCGTCCTGGAAAAAGACAAATGCAACAAAGACTCCAGGGTCAGTTCGTTTGTTTCCATGAGCCACAAAGTGTTGAAACACTGCAGACAGTCTACAGCTGACGCTTCTGACACACAGACACTCGTGTTGTTTTAAATAGCTGCCAGGATAATGTGGCACCAGTGTGAACACTAACCCTGCCGTACAGGCCCAATCTCACCAATCCCTGCTTCTCCACACAATCCAGGCTGCCTCGAACTGTAGGAAAGACTTCACCTGACATCAGCTCCGCGTTAGGACATCAACGTGACATCAACACTAACACAACTTCTCTGGCTCTACACCGCAAATGTCAACAACAGATTTATGTGTTTAAGCACTAACGTTTGCTATAACGACAACGTGTAGTTGTTCCACACACACTTACATTCAAAGGCTTCATCCTGATGAAGTAATGATGTAGAAGAAGACCAGGTACCAGATGTGTTAACTATGACATGTCAATCACAGACACACACACGTGTGAGGCTGCTGTTCCACCTAATTACTTTTATCTACGCAGCTAGAGACAGCCGAGGGTGACGCTGTGCTCCACGATGAATTATTCATGTTTCAAGGTAAAAAGACTCAAGGAAGCCACGGCTCAACCGTCATGGTGCGAGGTGCACACTTAGGGTGGTGGATCCAGGAAGACTGAGCGAGTGTGCACATCAGCTTTCCGTGGTCTTCACTAAGATCATCACTGTCCCAGTCCTTCAGCCCACCCCCCCTGAATTCAGCCACAATCGTTCCACTACCCAGAGAGACCAGAAGCAGCCTGAACTGGCTGCTGTGCAGACTAAAACTTCAGCAAGGCTGACCATCAGCATCGACTGGAAGTGCATGGATGGCGCTCCAATGGAAGTCAACACCCTGAGAGAAGAAGGCCCATCAGCATCTCCACTTACTGAGGGATCTAAAACCTGAACAGGGAGCTGGTGACGACTGCATCTGTGTGGTTCTTGAGCTGTGCACACAGGGAGGCACTTAAAGGGTCATTAACAGAGGCCAAAACACTCTTTACTGGGCCCCTCTTCTCCTCCCTGGAGGAAACCCACCACTGTGGTGACCTGCACCCACTCAGGACACCAGGTGTTTATGCTTCGGTCCTCCCACAGGAGATCCAGGACGCTGAGGTCATTACAACCAGACCTCAGCCCTAATCAATGCTAACAGCTCTGTACATACTGTATAGTCCTGTCCAAATTCATGGGCTGCTTTCTCCTGAGG